AATATAAAATGAGTAGGACCTAACTCTAAATCTAATTTTTACTCTAAGCCCAGTTATCCTTCTGAGAATTCATACAAAATTTCCATTACACAGATTGAATAATTTATTGATGAACTTAAAATGCAAGAAGAGGACTAAAGGCATCTGGCATTCACATTCATACCAGAACACTGGGGAGATAATCATATGCCAAATAAAGTGTCTGAGAGAGAGCTCCAAAATTCAGCAAGGAAGTGACAAGAAACATCTAGGGCACACAAGGAGAGGGAAGCAAGGCAGCTGGCCTGGCTGAGATCAGCTGCAAGCAAGGAGAAGCTCCCCAGTGTGGGCAAAGGGTAAGTGAAAGATCCCAAAACGTCCACATTCCTACTGCAGACTGCTGCAATCCTAGCCACAGAGAGCCCTTCAGCTCTAGCGAGCCCTGACACTAGCATAGCAGAGTCTGTGTAATGGCATTGCTCCGGAGAGGGTTTGTGCTGAGTCCCACACACCCCCAGGGACCCAGGTAGCTATAGCATGATGCCATTTTGAAAGCCCAGACCCACCACACTACATCCTGCCCTGGGGTCCAACAGCCCCTGCGTCTCCACATCCCTGGAGCCCCATTGACATCCCTCTATGTCCACTCAGAGGGCTGCAGAATTGTGATACCAGCTGGACCCAGGAGTGTGGCCAGGTCCCCAGCACTCTGCCCATGCACTATTATACACTCTGGGGAGCAGGCTATACAGTGTACCAGAAAACCTGCCCCTGCGAGGGAAGGAGCCAAGCACATGCTCTCCAGAACCTGACAGCCACCTGCCTACAGCCGCTGCCACTGACAACAACCCTGCCTCACCCCTGCCCAGCAGCAGGGCTTACTACATATCTGCATTGCGCCTTCAGTGGACCTGGGATCAGCCTGTCCAGATGCTGTTTTGGGGCCTGAGGACTGGCCTGTCTGTCCACCACTGCTGCCACCCAACTGCACCATTTTAGGGCTGGGGGATAGACTTGGCTTTCCTGCCACAGCTGGTGCCCATGTGCACTATCAGGGGGCCTGAGGACAAGCCTATCCTGTCCACCACCCAGTGCCTGTACACACCATCTGGGGGCCTGAGGATGGGTTCCCCCAGCCTGTTGGTGCCCACACATACCATCTGGGGGTCTGGGGATTGACTCACCCCATCTACCACAGCCTGTGCCTGTGGGTACCATTGAGGACCTGAGAATAGACCTGCTATGCCTGGTGCCAGCCCCACCAGTGCCAGCATGTGCTATCCAAGGGCCTGGGGATCGATCTGCCTTGCCCGATACCCTTGGGATCCACACACTTCTCCCAGAGGCCTGACGATGGGCTTGCCTACCCTGCCAGCACCTGCACATATTGTCTGGGGGCCCAGAGATTGACCTGCCCTACCCATCACTGCAAGCATTTGCACACTACTCCCAGGGGCCCGAAGACAGGTCTGCGCAGCCTGCCACCACCACCACTGCCAGCACCCACCTGCATGCACCACCTGGGGGCCTGGAGATTGGCCTTCTCAGGCCACTGCTTTCACCACTGACATCTATGCATGTCACCTGGGGGCCTGAGAGTTGACCCACTACCACTGCTGCCCTCACTGATGCCACACATGCTTCCCAGGGTCCCAAGGACCCACCCATTCACCTGGCCCATCACTGTCACTGCTGACACCTGAGCAAGCCACTTGGAGGCCCAAGGATTAGCCCTTCTGGACCCACAGGTGCCTATGCATGCTGCCCTGGGTCCTAAGGACAGGTATGCTAGGCCCATTGCCACTATCACTAGGGCCCAAGGATTGATCTGCCTAGCATCCCTGTTATAAGTAAAGCCTTATCACAGCCTCCATTAACAACCATAACATAAGCCATTGAAGAACTCACAGACACCACAGATGCTTATTACAACTGAAGAAATTATATGGAGACTACGCTACTACATGCACCCAGAATCAAGGCTAAAGCACCCAACACAATCAACACTGTAGATACATCTATAGGAAAAAGTCTCCCTATGAAAGCAAATCCAAGAAATTGGGGGAAGTGGCTGTTCATCAGATGCACCGATATCAATGTAAAGATACAAGAAGCATGAAAAAGCAAGGAAATATGACATTTCCAAAGGAAAATGATGATTCTTCAGCAACAGATTCTAACAAAAACAGTCTGAAATTTCTGAAAACATAGGGGAAATGCTTCAGGACATTGGTCTAGGCAAAGATTTTATGGCTAAGATCTCAAAAGCACAAGTAACAAAACCAAAAACAGACAAAGGAGACTATATTATACTAAAATGCTTCTGTACAGCAAAGGAAACAATCAATAGGGTGAAAAGACAACCTGTCTAATCTTTGCAAACTGTGCATCTGACAAGGGACTAATATATAAATATACAAGGAACTCAAACAACTCCACAGCAAAAAAAA